ATGACTAAGCAACTAACACACACACACACACACACACACACACACACACACACACACGGCTCCTTAGCCCTAAAGGATATTTCTCTCCTCTACCGAATGCATAATTTGCTGAGCCCGGAAACATTCCAAAGTCAAGTATAGTAAATGGTTAATAATGAGTAGGAGGCACTGTGATGATGAGCAGTTGCCACAGCACAGCTCCCCAAGAGATTCAGGTTTCCTGTTTTTATCATTGGAGAAGGAAATGGCAACCCATTCCAGTATTCTTGCCTAGAGAAGTCCATGGACAGAGGAGCCTGGCTGGCTATGGTCCATAGGGTCGCACAAAGTCAAAAACAACTGAAGAGTCTTAGCACTCATGCAGACTCCTGCCACACCTTCCATTCACCACCAAAGGTCAGGAACAATTTGGAAGAAACATCTGAGGACCTAAAGTGGCCATCTTAAAAATAATTTAAAACTACCATATTCATTGATAATGAAAAATCATTCAGTGTTGGAAGAAGGATACTGGATCCCCATGATAGACAGTGTCTGCTGCTGCTGCTAAGTCGCCTCAGTCGTCTCCGACTCTGTGAAACCCCATAGACGGCAGCCCACCAGGCTCCTCTGTCCCTGGGATTCTCCAGGGAACAATACTGGAGTGGGTGGGTTGCCATTTCCTTCTCCAATGCATGCACGCATGCTATGTCGCTTCAGTCGTGTCCGACTCTGTGCAAGCCTATGGACAGCAGCCCACCAGGCTTTTCCATCTACAGGATTCTCTAGGCAAGAATACTGGAGTGGATTGCCATTTCCTTCTCCAAGACAGTGTTTGCTGCTGCTGCTGCTAAGTCGCTTCAGTCGTGTCCGATTCTGTGCGACCCCGTAGACGGCAGCCTACCAGGCTCCTCTGTCCCTGGGATTCTCCAGGCAGTGTCTAGAAGACAGCAAAAGAGGTCACCGGTGCTGGTTTAAAAGATCCATAGATTCCCTTTCCTGTTAATGCAGTTGCTTTTTCTCTTCTTCATAAATAGCCAAAGACACTAAATGTTAAATGTTTTCAAGCAAGCTTAATGAAGTTTGTAGATGGTAATCACTGGTGGCATGGGGTGGGGGATGGGGGGAATCGCAGGCTGCAGGGGAGGGAGGGGATATGGAGAAGTTGCTATGAAGTTTCAGTTTCCTGATGATTTTTTTAGTTTTCCAGAGACAGGAATTCAGAAAAGCAAACCAGGAGGAGACCTATGGGCCAGGCAGTAGAGGGAATTATTTGAAGATCTGAGATGAGTTGAGTTTGTGGATATTTTAAAATATTATGTCTAATTTTCAACGTGTTTTAAAATTGCCATCACAAAATGCTTTTACTTTTACTTTTTTTTCCAAAAAGGAAGAGTTTAGAAAAAATATTTTTACTAAATAATGTTAAAGATAATAATCTGAAAAGAGAGGATAATGTAATAGAAAAAACCATTTGAAACTTGAAGAGGGAAAAAACCTCCAATGATTCTCCTAACTGGATAGACTTGAAACATTTATGTAGACATACCCTATACTTCTTGAGCTCCAAAATCACTGCAGATGGTGACTTCAGCCATGAAATTAAAAGATGCTTGCTCCTTGGGAGAGAAGTTATAACTAACTTAGACAGCATATTAAAAAGCAGAGACATTACCTTACCAACAAAGGTCTGTCTAGTCAAAGCTATGGTTTTTCCAGTAGTCATGTATGGATGGGAGAGTTGGATCTTAAAGAAAACTGAGCACTGAAGAGTTGATGCTTTTGAACTGTGGTGTTGGAGAAGACTCTTGAGAACCCCTTGGACAGCAAGGAGATCAAACCAGTCAATCCTAAAGAAAGTCAGTTCTGAATATTCATTGGAAGGACTGATGCTGAAGCTGAAGCTCCAATACTTTGGTCACCTGATGTGAAGAACTGACTCATTGGAAAAGACCCTGATGCTGGGCAAGATTGAAGGCAGGAGGAGAAGGAGACGACAGAGGATGAGATGGTTAGATGGCATCGCCAACTCGATGAATATGAGTTTGAGCAAGCTCCAGGAGTTGGTGATGGACAAGGAAGTCTGGCATGCTGCAATCCATGGGGTTGCAGAGTTAGGCACGACTGAGCAGCTGAACTGAACCCTGTACTCTAATGTTGTATAAATATACTAAAATCACTGTGGAACTAGATTGTCCTTTGTATGAAAGAACCTGGCTTACTCAAGTATGAATGGCAGCATTGGAAGAAAATAATAAAGAACAAATTTGGAAACAAAATTGGTTACTGGTTAAAAAGATACATAGAGTTCAAAGTGTTAGTCACTCAGTTGTATCTGACTCTTTGAGACCCCACAGCCCTCCCAGCTCCTCCATCCGTGGGATTTCCAAAGCAAGAATACTGGGTTGGGTTGTCATTCCCTTCTCCAGGGGATCTTCCGGCCCCAGGGATCGAACCGGGATTCTTTACCGTCTGAGCCTATAGAGAGTTCAAAACCCTTAGCCAATTAATTCTCCTAATTATGAACTGGTTGAAAACAAAAGCTCCTTCAAAGAGTCTGCTAAATGTTAAAAGAACAATATGTTGGATTGGTTAAAGCTGAGGAATAATCTTCAAAACATGTTCTAAGCAGTCCGCTCCTTAAGTGTAGGAACTTTCACACTTGAAGAGGGGACGGAAATATGACACAGTTCATAGAAAATAGAGGAAGTTAGCCTTTATCAGGCCAAACTCGGAATACTGAGCAAATACTTGAAGAGAGCGTGACCCAAATGGAAATGCTGGGAAGCTTTCGAAAACACGCCCGGTTGCTTCTATCAAAAGCACACCCCCGACGAAGGTGGGATTCGAACCCACGCGTGCAAAGCACAATGGATTAGCAGTCCATCGCCTTAACCACTCGGCCACCTCGTCGTCGTATACGTATTTCTTAACGTGCTTTATTTCAGAGTTTATACTTGGGAACCATCTACCCTAGATAGAATGATATTTAGGAAAGAGATGGTTTGGGGACGTCTGGAAGACGTGGAGGCGGTTGGCTTCCACGCGAATGGACAAAGCGCCGAATTGCAAAAGCTGCGACGGGGGGGTGGGGGGTGGGGGCGACCAGGCTTAGCTTTCACAGGAGTCTTATTAAAAGTGGTGGGGACGTGGTAGAAACACAGTTGCCTGGGCTTTCACTCCACAGTTGCCTGGGCTTTCACTCCCTTTCTAGGGTTGTCTCGTTCCCGGCAGGGACTGAACCTGGGCTGAACCACAGTTTGCTGTCAGGGGAGCCTGGTCCTGGGTTCGAGCGCGCTGCCGGAAGTCCCCCGGGGCAAAGGTTCCCGGAGCCGGGTCCACTGGAGTCGACCTCGGCGGAGCTGGCGAATTTGGACTCCTAATTTGTGGTTAATAAAACAGTCTGGAAAATTAGACGATGGATCTGAGTATGGCTCAATTTCTGTTCAGTGTTATTGACGGTTGTTCAAAAGCTTAGGGTGAAATTGCATAGAGAAAAATCATTAGCTTCGCGGGGCTCTTCTCCCCGGTCATCCTCATCAGAGGAACCACGAATTCTGATCCTCCCCACTCCACTACCTGAGTGTTTTCTAAGGAGAGTTTGTCCAACTTCCACTAGGTTTTCCAGGCGTTCTGGTACCGAAAACAAGAAACTCAACACTAGCGAGAAATAATTTAAAGAAAGAAAGGCGGGGCGGGGGGTTAGGGGAGGGGAGTGTTCAGCTCCATCCACTTCCTTGTTTCATAAGAATAAACACGACAGACAGATGAACGAATAAGAATAGGAAATAATTCTGACTAATCAGGTTGATCATAAATGCCTGGGGAAAGAAGGTAATATTGAAGGCGAGTCTTGACCAGCAAGTTTTCTAGTGGGCGCGAAGAATGTGGTTGTCGCAGGCTGAGAGGAAAGGGCCTGAGCAAAGGCAAGGAGGCGTGCAAAGCGATCATGACTTATCCTGTTGTCAGTTTTGATAGCAAAGGATAAAGGAGTTATATTCTTTTCACAGGGAAGAGCAGTATAATTAACAACAACAACAACAAATGTCAAAAATACATAGTGCTTTCTCAGAAAGTAGTGGTGAATCATTGGGAAAGTAATACACTAACTCAAGTATTTGAAATTATTAAAGAGGAATTTGAAACTTAAAACACTGAAAACATATACATAAACAGATTTATTAGATAGAGCAGAAGAGAGAATTAGGAAGCTGAAAGTAAGATTTGAGGGAACTATGTAAAATACTATCCACTGATACAAATAGTTGGAAGTGAAGGAAGAGGGATAATAAAGATTAAGGTTATGAGAGAAATTCTACCATATATCTAATTAAAGTCTCAAAAGAAGTTATTAAGAAAATAGGAAAGAGTTAAGTGTCTCAAGTATGCCTGACACATGCTTTAACAATTATCAATATGTTGTCAAACTGGTTTTCCATATTATTGCAAAGTTTATCTCAGGCAGTGTATTATTTTGTATGTCCTTTCATTTGTTCAATAAGAATACTTACTAGAATATTTATTAGTGTTCATTTCAAAACTTCTAGAGTATAATTTGTTGAATAAATCATTTTCAATCAGCCAATTCTGCCACTGTTTTCAGAAACAACAGTGGGGAGAAGACAACAGTTTTTGTTTGTTTATGATGCTATTACCTATGTTTCTATTTATTTTCTACTGTCATTAAAACTCTACAAAGTAGAAATGATTCTAGATTTAACTGTTTAAAATAATATGGTTGGTGCTTAAAACAAGAAGCAAAATTATTCAGTGAATTTCTACAAAAGTGCAAGTCTTGAGTAGCATAAGCTTGCAAGTTCAAGACTACTACCTTCCTAACAGTCTGCTCTATCACTCTCTTCTCCAGCATTTAAACATCAAGATTCAGTCTATAATTGCTCCTCATCGTTTTCACTTGTCTCTTCTTTCCTCTTTAGGTATCCAATACTAGGTTTCTCATGGTGATTCAGCTCTCAAATACCTCGAACTGAGTTATCTCATTCTCTGGCCATGCCCCCTAGATGTCAGAGGTCTTCTGCTTAAGTAATCAGCATGCCTGCTCCAGCCTACTGTCTGCCCAGACATCAAGGACTGTCAACCCGGATCCTGAGCATACTATAAAGCCTGCTTAACACTCTTTAACAACTATCAACCACCTACCCCCTGGTGACAAACTTCTACCCTCTCTCACCAGCCTCCTCTGCCCTCTTCCAGTCACCCTTTGGCTGCATTCTCTATTTAGTAACAATGTATTTGAGGAAAATCAAAGTATCTTCTTTGGGGAAAATATATGAGAGTAGTTCATATTTTTTCACAAGCCACATGTGGAAAAGCCTGGACTGAGAGGCTGTGCTTGAGTGTTGCTTTTCTTTATATCTGCAGAAGTTTCTAAACTGTTCTATTCAGTGATGGCCTGGCTCTCATTACAAAAGAGAACCACAGAGCAATCGGAGAGACCTAAATAATGAACCCAATTGTCCTGCACAGGGCCTCTTCTTCCTCTGCGGAGAGGTCCAGGAAGTTAAAGTACCACAAAGCTAGAGCTTTTCTAGAGTAACCTTCCAGGCCTAGCTGTTTTTCTCTTTCCTTTGCTCGGTGGTCCAGGGTGCCTGCTCAAGGCTGCTTATGAACTGTCTCAATTCCAATCCATACAATTTGGCCTTGGTGAGCATATAGTCACCAATGGATCCTGAAGGTTCTGAAAAAAAAAGATTGGATATAGAGATGAAATTGACAACTGCTCTCATTGGCTGAAGACAGAATTGGTTCAAATGGCAGAACACTAGCTTTGCCTGAGAGAGGGGTAGTGGGATCAATGCCTGCCTTCTCCAGTTTTGGGTAAACCACTTATGAGGCAGATTCAAAGCCAGGAATAACTGGGTATGTTAAGGGAGGTTGTTAAAAAGTTCATTTATTTCTGTTAGGTTGCTTACCATTCTACAGCACCCAAGACAGGATTACAGTGGTGGGGAACAAATCCAGAGCAAATGATGACATTTAATGAGGAAAAAAGAAGGCTGTGGAAAAAAATTCCTTGTGTAATTTATTTTATTCTCTGTAATCATAAAAGCTTTTAAGGATTAGAACTGAAACCTAAGTGGAGTCTTGACAGAGTCATATAAACTTTAAGCTGATATTTCTTTTTCATTATTTTCTGACTACATTATGCTCTGACTACATTTTTCTTTTTATTCAAAAAAATGCATTTGAAAATATATATTAGTAGATTTACTTTGTTTTCTATATGCTATGGTCTGAATACTTCTGTCCCTCTAAAATTCATATGTTGAAAATGTAATGATCAGGGCAATGGTATTAGGAGGCAGGGGCTTTGGGAGATGATTAGCTAATGAGGGCAGTGTCTTCATTAAAAAAAAAAAAAACAGAATACAACTGATTTATTTTGCTATTTCACCTCTGGGAAGTTATTTTCAGTTCAATTCAGTTCAGTTCAGTTCAGTTGCTCAGTCATGTCCAACTCTTTGTGACCCCACGGACTGCAGCACGCCAAGCTTCCTTATCCATCACCAACTCCCAGAGCTTACTCAAACTCATGTCCTTTGAGTCGGTGATGCCATCCAACCATCTCATCCTCTGTCATCCTCTTCTTCTCCCACCTTCAATCTTTCCCAGCATCAGGGTCTTTTTCAGTGAGTCAGTTCTTCGGATCAAGTGGCCAGAGTATTGGAGTTTCAGCTTCAATATCAGTCCTTCCAATGAATATTCAGAACTGATTTCCTTTAGGATGACTGGATCTCCTTGCAGTCCAAGGGGCTCTCAAGAGTCTTCTCCAACACCACAGTTCAAAAGCATCAATTCTTCAGTGCTCAGCTTTCTTTATAGTCCAAGTCTCACACCCATACATGACTACTGGAAAAACCACAGCTTTGGCTAGATGGATCTTTGTTGGCAACTTAATGTCTCTGCTTTTTAATATGCTGTCTAGGTTGGTCATAACTTTTCTCCCAAAGAGCAAGGATCTTTTAATTTCATGGCTGCAGTCACCATCTGCACTAATTTTGGAGACCAGGAAAATAAAGTCTGTCACTGTTTCCATTGTTTCCCCATCTATTTGCCATGAAGTGATATGAATGGATGCCATGATCTTAGTTTTCTGAATGTTGAGCTTTAAGTCAACTTTTTTCACTCCCCTTTTTCACTTTCATCAAGAGGTTCTTTAGTTCTTCACTTTCTCCCATAAGGGTGGTGTCATCTGCATATCTGAGGTTATTGATTTTGCTCTCAGCAATCTTGATTCCAGCTTGTTCTTCATCCATCCTGGCATTTCACATGATGCATTCTGCATATAAGTTAAATAAGCAGGTTGACAATATACAGCTTTGATGTACTCCTTTCCCAATTTGGAACCAATCTGTTGTTCCATGTCCAGTTCTAAATGTTGCTTCTTGAGCTGCATACAGATTTCTCAGGAGGCAGGTCAGATGGTCTGGTATTCCTATCTCTTTAAGAATTTTCCACAGTTTGTTGAGATCCACGCAAAGGCTTTGGTGTAGTCAATAAGTCAGAAGTAGATGTTTTTCTGGAACTCTCTTGCTGACCCAATGGATGTTGGCAATTTGATCTCTGGTTCCTCTGCCTTTTCTAAATCCAGTTTTAACATCTGGAATTTCTCGGTTTGCGTCCTGTTGAAGTCTGGCTTGGAAAATTTTGAGCATTGCTTTGCTAGCATGTGAGATGAGTGCAACTGTGCGGTAAGTTGAGCATTCTTTGAGATTGCCTTTCTTTGGGATTGGAATGAAAACTGACCTTTTCCAGTCCTGTGGCCACTGCTGAGATTCCCAAATTTGCTGGCATATTGAGTCCAGCACTTTCACAGCATCATCTTTTAAGATTTGAAATAGCTCAACTGGAATTTCATAACGTCTGCTAGCTTTATTCAACAGTGATGCTTCCTAATACTCAATTGACTTCTCATTCCAGGATGTCTGGCTCTAGGTGAGTGATCACAATTTAGTGATTTCTAAGTACCTGCCAGAGGTTACCTGAAGAATGAAGGTTACAGGACCAAAGGTGGGAGTGGATATTCTTTATTAGAAATCAGCTTACAAGACAAGGGGGCTTTCCTTGTGGCAATCCGCCTGCAGTGCGGGAGACCTGGGTTCGATCCCTGGGTTGGAAAGACCCCCTGAAGAAGGGAAAGACTACCCATTCGAGTCTCTGGCCTAGAGAATTCCATGGACAACAGTCCTTGGTGTCGCAAGTAGTCGGACACGACTAAGTGACTTTCATTTTACAATACAAGGTGGGGGATAAAGAATTACAGAGGCTAGCCCACTGCAACACAACAGAGTCGTTGATTGGTTCGAACAGTGCTAAGGGGCAGTTAAGAATAACCTCTATAGGACAAATTCAAACACATCAAAGATGGTGTAGTAGGAAAGGAGAGCGGAAAGCGTCTCAGAGATGCTGGCAAAACAGTGCTCCAGGTGAGGATCGAACTCACAACCTCGGCATCACCCGCACACATACTGCCATATAAGTACCGCGCGCTAACCGATTGCGCCACTGGAGCCCTTGCGTCCTGCTTCCGGTCACGCATTACACGGCCTATGCACCCCAGTCCCTGCATCTCCACCACCACCGTCTCCGAATCCTGCAACTGCATCCTGAGCGGAAAAACAAAAGTTCAGCTGCAGACCCCACCCAGCCGCCAGTCCTGAAGGGCAGAGGGTGCTCTGCTAGCGGAAACGAGGGTGGATACTTTGAACACAACTGCGAAAAGTGCAGACACTCGAGAGACTCTGACTATCTCGAGCATTCCGAGGAGGACATTCGGGGGGCTGAAAGGGCTGGCGAGCCTTCTGCTGCTGCGTGGGTCCCGGAGTCTTTCCATTTGCCTCTCTCCGGGATGCTTTTCCTTGGGGAGTCAGAAGAAGGTTTCCTGTCTGAGCCTGGGGAGGGGGCTTCTGAGCCTGAGCCGTTACAGGCTATCTCAGAGTGTGTGAGCATCCAGAATTCCTGTGGGCTTCCAGGGCACGTTTACTTAGTCCTCTTTAGTTAGGTGGCAATCTTCTTTCACGAGTTGGAAGACAGTTTACCCCCAAGGTATACCTCTTGTTGAAAGTCTTTGACTTTTTAAAATGCAATATTTGGATAACTTAAGAATACAGTATTTGACTCTAAAACGTATCTGTATAATCAGTCAGCTGTGACCCAGTTGACTTTAAATGTTATGAATCCAAGTATATAGTTTCAAGCAATGATAACTCATTCTAGCCTGTGTGCTGCTAGATTTTAAAGTTTGGCAAGAATACAAACCACTTGGTATGTAAATTTTTATACTGTCCTAAGATTCTTTAAAACTGTTTCATTTTACTTTAAGTTACTTTTCTTAATAAGCTAATAGGGATCTCCATGGAGCAATACTTAATATCAAATTTTAGTATGATGTTTAAAGATGGAGCAAAGGATTCAGATTTCCAGTAGTAACTATGATGATGGTTTGAAGTAGAATTTATACAGGGCTTCTTTTTTTAAAAGTACTTTTATATTTACTTTCTTAGTCTAGTTCTATAGCAGTCCTACAGAGGTAGATTTTTTATTGAAGTAATATATAAATGATATTCTCTAATCATTTACTGTGATTAAAAAAGAATAAGTATAAATGAACAAAACAGTCAATCTCTTGTGGAGTTTATATGTAAGAAACCCAGAAAAGTCATACAATTTAAAAAATGTATTAGTGAATACACTTAATATAATAGAGAGCAGACAGCATTTTCACTCATATGAGCAGATTGTTTACTAAAGAAAAAGAAATTAGCTTCTAGCCCTTTAGGTGACTGAAATGTCAAATTTGTAAACTTATGGAAATTTTCAAACATAATGAAATTGACATAATTAGGTAATGTAATTGATTACATGTAATTGATTTTACAGTCATCAACATTTTACTAATCTTGTTCCCTGTATCTTTCCACTACCATTTTTGTTGGGGGGTCAGGGGTAGGTGATTGAAGGTGGGAGTGGAAGTATTTTAAAGTAAAACCTAGACATATCGTCTCACCCTAACTTCTTCAGTCTGTACGTCTTCGAGATAAGAATTCTTTTTATTTTATTCCACTTTTCCTTTTTTTAATGTATGTGCAATATCTTTATCACATTCAGCAACTTTGGCAGTAATCTCTTACTAAAAGAAGTGACTTGGCCAAAAAGTAAGTGGCAAAACTAAGATTTGAATCCAGGTTCTCTGCCCTTGGGGCTTTCCTGGTGGCTAAGATGGTAAAGAATCTGCCCATAATGTGGGAGACCTGGGTTTGATCCCGTGTTACCCACTCTAGTATTCTTGCTGGGGAATTCCATGGACAGAAAAGCCTGGTGGACTATAGTCCATGCTGTCAGGAAGAGTTGAATACAACTAAGCCATTAATACTTTTCTCTGGCTCTAGCTTCGCATACTTGATTCCTTTTCCAAGCCATTTTAAACAAAGAGTTGTCTTCTTTAAGGGAGTGTGTGCCTTCAAGTGAATGTGGAGTAATTAACAATTTTTTAAAATATTTAGACTGAGAGGTTGTCTATAAGGGAGAGAGTAAATGGCAACTGTTTAGAGTAAACAATTTACTTGATAAATATATTTATAGTTTCTCTTTACTCCTTTTCTGACATTAACAGAAATCTGTTTACCTATCTATTTTGTCTTCTGGGGTCAGTTCAAAGCTCAGGATAAAATATGGCACTCTTCTCAATGGGGCCTTCTACCAACCTTGAGACTTAAAGATATTGTCTTGCAATAACTACTTTTCCTAGGTCTCAGGGCTGGATTTCCACATGCATATGATTGTCTAAAGCAATCTTCACTTTGTTTCCTCTGATTTCATGAATAATCCTTCTTTTTTCAACCAATAGCATTATCATGCTATCTTCTTTTAATAGTTCTACTGATTGACACATAAGCCTATAATTCTAAGCTGGAAATATATTACTGTTGCACACTCTAACATCCTACTTTATTCTAGAAATATGTAGTATACATACAACAAAAATTCAACTGAGAGAAACTGACAGATATACCAACCCCCTGTCCTAAAGATGATCCTTTTGTTCCTAGATTAGTCATTCATTCAACAAATATTTACTTAACACCTGCCTTGTGCCAGAATCCATAAGTGAATAGAATAGACAAAATCGCTGCCTTCCCAGAGCTTACATTTAAGAAAATTTTAAACAGAGGTTCTTAGCAGCCCTCTGTTTTGTCTTTCATGTATCCATTTATTTGTTAATCCGTTTATCAAAAAACACACGTGTCCATCATTGCCAAGTGGTATGTTAGACAACAAGGTTGAGATCAGAAAGTATTGCATGTCTTAATATTATTCGGGTGAAGGAATTGAAGAGTGTAGTGTGAACCACTGTACCCTTAACACAAAACTGGTTTCCACTTACATCTTTCAGTTATTTCCCTGATTATCCTATTTTCTATGAAGCATTCTTTAATCTTGTGCAGAGATATAGTGTTCCTGCCTATTCCATATTAGAAGTCAGAACTAAGGGCATAAGCCATAACTTCTGAGGCACACGTGTACCAAAGAAAACCAAGACATTGATGGGTGGAGGGGGTGGGAAATGACATATTTAAAAAAAAAAAAACAGGGCCAGCAGGATAGGGTCTCACATTTTTGTTGGGATGTAGAGTTCACATACTTATGATGTCACTAAACATTTCTGCCAATGAGGAGACAGGAAGGGACCACAAGATTCTACTCTTGAAGAGAAGGCTAGGATGGGCCTCAGTGTTAAAAAGTACTATAGAAAACAAAATGTAATCAAAAGATGAAAACTGAAACAGAAATATTAAAAGAAGAAATAAGAGAAAAGGTAACCTCTGATCTTTAACAGTAAGAGAAGGGAAAGGGGTTGTGATTTGAGGGGAGTGATGATGGAGGGCAATGTTGAGATTGCAGAGCATAGGAAATTTTTACTTCCCTTGACATCACTAGGAAATGTATTTGGTGTGCACATTTTTTTTTCCTTTCTGTTAACAGATATTCACTGAGATCCTGCTACATGTAAAGCACTATGCTAAACATGATGGGAAATTAAGAATTCAGGGCTGTGGTTCTCCAGGGACTTCTAGTGTAGGTGGTGAGACACAATACCCAGACACCCAGGGAAAGCAGAGTAACAAAACAGAGTTGTAGATGGTTGTGTCCAAGTGGTTTAGACACGATATATAGAAAAAAGGAGAAAGATGTCAGTTCTTGCTGGTGAGGGACATAGGGTCAGTCTGTGACCTGGGGAGGATTTGGTTAAGAGATGAGAAGGGGAGCTCTGCAAGCCTGAATATGAAAGGCAAGGAGGTTGAGCTTATATGGGCTTGTATGGGTGTTTCAGAATGGAGAGAAATCCCACAGTAACTGAGGGCATCTGACTCATTCACCTCCCCCTGCCCTTTTTTTCAGTCAGCACCCTTTTGTGTGAAATGTGGGATAGTTAAACCATACCGAGTTCTTATCCTCATCTGCAGTTTCACTGGTTCTGCCCTTCTGTGGTGGGCCTTGAACCTCTCAACCTGGGTGAAGATAGAAAACTCACACCAATCCTTCTTCAGTGCTCTCTTTGCAATATGCAGTGGTGAGATCAAATGTTGGGCTCTACCATCAAAATCAAGTAAGTTCTGGCCTTGAAAGGGAGGGCCCTGCTTCAACCCTGTCCCTTCCCAGAATTTTCAACCTCCTTTCCTGCCCCAGCATACCTGAAGGAAGCAATTATAAGCCCACCAGTAACACTGGCTCATTTCAGAATGAGCCAGGGGACCAGGCCTCTCAAGGGATACCAGCCCAGCTAGAATCACTATTTTAGATCTTTTGGCAGCATACTTCTCCCTCCATCCCTATGCTTCCCACCATGTGCCATTGGTTCCTACCTTAAAGTCTCTGCACTGCTTCTTTAGTATTCTGGGGATTCAGACCCAGAAGGAAGGGGGCCCTAGAGGGAGCTCCTGGCCTTTCTCCCCTCTCCCTCCCTAATTCAGACTACTACATATTTGGTCAAATTTTCATGATCAGCGCCCTTCTTCTCTCCTTCTTCCTGAGCTTTATACTCCTGGCCTTCCCGCATTCCTTTCCTGATACCCGGAAACAGTACTTCATCTTCACAACCACCTTCTTCATCATAGGTAAGGGATGAAACAAAGAGGACTCCTTCAATCATTCTGGTTCTGGGCTGGGGTGGTGCTCCATTGGGCATAACCTCTTAGAAACTGTTGAGAGACTGTTAAGGGCAAAGGTAATACAATGACAACAAGTGGAATGACAACAAAAGGAAAAAATGACAAAAGGAAAGAAATAGAGAGTATGGGGAGTTAAAGCAACAACTTAAGTCTTGGAAATTAGTCCTAAGGCCACAGATTAAGCTAACCAGATGGGTTATTGTCCCCCCCACCTTCCTTTTTTTCTGCATAACAGGTATCTGTGTGTTCCTTGCACTACTACTGCATTATCTGTATATTTTGAAAACAACTAACCTTTATAAGGACATGAAAATCACCTTTCTCTACCCCTCGTTCCTCCTTATATTCAGCACCATACTGTTTTTCTTATCTGGTGAGTGTTCTTAAGGCTTAGGGAGTTTGTGGGGGTAGGTACTGAATTCAGAACAATTCTATTTATGGGTTTCAAGTATTTCCTTTGAGTACTGCTAATTTTCGGACATGGATTTGGTGCAATGATATCCCATTTGCTCATTGCAGCTCCTCCTGCTCTATAGTGTTAGAATGTTGCCTTTATAGAAGACATAGAATCCATTTCTCCCCTATACTTAAGAACCGTGTCTTGGAGATGGAGAGAGAAATTATAAGAAAGATTGTAGTAGAGTGAAGGGGGGGTGGGGTGAAGATTGGTGTTGACAGATTGGTACTCTAGGTCCTAGACCATACTGTCATTTGCTAATCCTGTTTAAAAACTAAATTTCATAGTAAATATCAAGTAATAGTCATTTTCATCTTCAACATGATCACTCTTTCCTCAGGATTTCTCTGCTTGTGCAGCACCCATCATTGTTGGCTCCAGTGTGTCTTAGTGCAACCAATCCAAGTGAAACCCATGCAAATATCAGTGGACAATGGGAACTCAGTCACAGAAGGGATACCTGGGAGAGATGGCTAGCCTAACGTCAGTGATGGTGAGAAGGCTAATTTCTGAAGAAAAATCATGTCTACCCTGTAACTCAAGACTTCACAGCTATGCACACACTCTTGTTTAATTACTAAGACTAGAAAGAATTGACTTGTTACTAATCATTATTCAGATATGGATTAAGATTCCAGGAACTCAGGTCTTTCACTAAAGAGAAGACACAGCTGGGATGTGGGGATGGCTGAGCGTGTTTGGCTCTGGGGACTTGAAGTGAAAAAACTTCTCCTCACCTTGAAGATTCCCTAGGCACCCACCTCCCAACCCTCTCACTGGTATTCCTGGTCTCCTGGAAATAGATTTTTTTTTTTTTTAAACAGTAACAAAACTCTTTCTCTTGTGAAGCCTTAGTTTTGATAAAAAAAAAATTTTTTTTCCCTGAGGAATTTTATGAGTGGAATCTTGTAACTACTGTATTGTTCAGGCCTTTTGTATTGTTCAGGCCTCTATGTTGTTGCACATAACAAAACCTTATCCAAACTACCTCAACAACAACATAAAATGAATATATTGGAAAAGATGCAGGGGTAGCTCATAGACGCACAGAAAGTTCTAATATAACTAGGGTTACATGAGAGATGTTGGGGACTGGAATTGGAACTCATTTCCTTCAAGATACTTTTTCCCCCACTGTTTATTAAAGGTTAAAGGAATTTCCTGATCTATAAATAGTAAAGTCCACAGATCCACTATCCCCAATTCCATTTGTTCATCACTTTCAATGAATTATCAAAGCCTGTCGCTTCCACCTCAACCAAACCTCCATTCCCCTCTCTGAGCTCTCCTCACACCTAGTTATCTGGACCAGGCCTTTGTTATTCCTGCCCAGACCATGGTGTGTCTACACTAGGCGTCTCCCTGCACTTCGGTCTACCTCTACAAGTACTGCCCAATTTGATCTTCCTCAAACACAGAGCTGAGAATGTTCTCCTTGAAGACCTATTTCGCCTTCTTCTGTCTTGAGGATAAATTTCTTATCTTGATTATCTTGATTTTAAATAAAGGTATTTACAAATTGGCACCAACCTATCTTTTGGAATGTTTTAATTTTTTTTATTGTGATGCATCTCATACATGTCACATAAGCAAAATATATCAAAATATTTACAGTTGGAAGGATAAGAAATGAACCACCATATCTAGAAAAAAATAATATTGCCGGTATATTAGAAGCCTCTAGTGTGCCCCAACAAGCTGTTTTTACAGCCACTTGTCCTGATCCTCCAGTTCCTCTTCCTTATGCCAATTAAAACTGTAGTTCTACCTCAAGAAACTGCTTTCCTCCAACAGACCTTTTGTAACTTCTCCTCATACAAATACTGAATACTCTGGCTTTTTATTTCCTCCTTCTTTACAAGGTCAAATTTGTTTCTCCTTCAAGATTAAAGCCAAATGTGATAGCAAGAAAAACTTCTCCTGACTTCCCTTCCAGAGTTAATTGCTGGACTTCCATTCTGCTGGGAAGTCCCTGGTGGCTCAGTAAGGAAAATGCCTGTGATACAGGAGACCCAGGTTCCATCTCTGGATTGGGAGAATCCCCTTGAGGAAGAAACGGCAACCCACTCCAGTGTTTTTGCCTGGAGAATCCCATGGACAGAGGAGCCTGGTGGGCAACAGTGCTTAGGATCACAAAGAGTTGAACACACAGTGTGATGAACACTTTCAGGCTGCTGGCACATTTTCCTTTTTATTTCTGGAGTAGCACTTCTCCTGTTGTAATTATGAATTTAGATATGTCTCTCTGACTTGATGTTAGTTCTTTGAGGAATTCAGATTATTCTTTACCTTTGAATCCTCCACTTTCACATTCTGCTGTAAATGAATATTCAGTAAATGCCTTTGGAGTTATTAAGCTTTAGAATATTGGGAACAGTTGGACATTACTATTACGGACGGTTACTTTTTATTGACAGCCTAAATAGTTAACAGGACTTGACCTGCTTTATGTAATTTAACCTCACCACAAACCTGCAAAGTAAGTATCATCTCCATTTTGTAGATAAAGTAATGGGGTGACTGAAAAGTTAAGTGATTGGTCCAAATTCACACATTCTAGTAAAGGGCAGAGTCTCTTTCTAAAGCTGCTCTCATTTTTCCATATCAAGTTTCTTCTACATGAACAGTGATAAGAATAGAGAATAATAAGAACCTGCCGTGTAGCACAGAGAATTCTTCTCAGTACTCTCTAATGGACTATATGGGAAAAGCATCTTTAAAAAAAAAAAAAGTAGATTTTTTTACATGTGTAACATTCATTTTGCTGTACACCCAAAACAAACACAACATTGTAAATCAATAAAAACTAAATACTCCAATAAAAATTAAAAAGAAAAAACTTTAAACATACAAAAAAATAGTAAATTTTAAGACAGAAAGTGTTCAACTATGCTTATGCTGGAAAGGAACAGATTGTGATGAAGAAATAAATTTAAAATGTCACCTGTTAAAGAAGCTACAAAAATAAACCTGGGGATAAGTGAGTGTAATATCTTTTATAGACAAATTTAGGTAGCATAAATTACTGATTTCCAGAGTTAGGAATTTAAGACTCCTGCCCTGCTCTGGAGCTGTTTAAGGTTGAGCTTCAGATCTCTACACTATTATACACTTGTTAGCCTCTGACACTTTAAATTCAAAAACTGTAGTGTCATTTTACTATGCAGTCATGTTAAGATCTGTGATGTATGGCATTATTAATAACCACACTTATACAATTCTGATTTTTAAGTCAATATGTCATCATGAGAGACTCTTGAGAGTCCCTTGGACTATAAAGAGATCAGACCAGTCAATCCTAAAGGAAATAAACCCTAAACATTTATTAGAAGGATTGATGCTGAAGCTGAAGCTCCAATACTTTGGCCACTTGATGTGAAGAGCCAACTCATTGGAAAAGACCTTTATGCTGGGAAAGATTGAAGGAAAAAGAAGAGGGCTGTGGAGGGTGAGATGGTTAGATAGCATCAGCGATTCAAAGGACATGATCTTGAACAAACTCCAGGTAATAATGAAGGACAGGGAAGCCTGGCGTGCTGCAGTCCATGGGGGTCACAGAGTCAGACATGACTTAGCAACTGAACAACAACATGTAATCATGTACAATTAATGTACTTGTTCTAAATACAAGTACTAAATATAAGCTGTATATCAGATGCTTTTTGTAATGGTTAGCTCTGGAAATTTAGATCTAATGTTGACACTGACAATAGTGGACTCGGCAGCAACAAGGGTTCAGTTAGTCCTTCCCCAAGAGGGTGTTAAAGTATTAGGTAAAAAAAAAAAAAAGAAAAGAAACCTTGCTGTGCAAGTAAGGTGTGAAAGAAAATCACAGAAGCGTGGGAGAGAGAGTGAAAGGCGGGAGTCTCCAGTCAGCAGTTCGGACAGGACCCGCAGTTTGCCTTGAACTCCGGGTTTTAGTACCAAATGATCTCAGAGGGAGAGCAATGAGCAGTCCTGAAAAGAGATCTTAGTTTCCTGCCCAGAAATTAAACCTGGGGAACCTAGATGAAAATTGAAAGTTCTAACCACTAGACCATTGGGGGCTAGAAGTTAGAAGCAAAGTGGCCCTGGCTGTTGACCCTGTTTGAAAGCAAGAGTATTTCAAGGAGGAAAAAACTGTAAAAACAGGTCCAAAGTTTATTATTAGAGACACAGCACAATGTATGGGAGAGCACACAGGAAAACAGCTTCTACCTAACTAGCTTAGATAGAAGACTAACTAACAGATAGAAAACTAGCTTCTATCTAACTCAGAAGCTAGGCAGAGATACACACCCGGAGAGGAGTGCAGGCGTCCTGAGCGCAGAGGAGCTCAGTAAGGAGGTGATGTAAACCACTTATATAGGACAGTCCTTCTGAGTCTTTGTTACCCGTGGCCAATTATCTTGCTCCTTTCTTCACATCTGACTGGTCCATGGATCCTCTCCAAGATGTGTGCGCAACATTTTTCTAAGATTGATCCCACCGCAGAGGCCTATGAGTGTGTGTCCACACTTGTTATGAAATGGGGCCTGCTCCCTTTTCGACCCCCAAGAAGCCCTTCCTGCATGTATATAGACAAGGAAGTCTTCCTTGACCTTAGGAGTGGGCAGCTTATCTCTTGAGCAGAGCTCAACTTTTAGTTTTGTCCTTGGAGTGTCTGGGTGAGAACAAAGGCTTCATTTTACTCCATTTCACAAACACCAAGTGTCTGGCCCAGAGGCCCACTGTCTCCTACCTCAATGTGAGTTAATAAGATAAGGAATGGAGGTCTTGAACATGCTAAAAAAAAAATGCTTACTTCATTTTATTTCAAATATGGGAATGGTGTAGGGTACAGCAACATTGCTTGTTAGTTCCACCACCAGTCACCAACAGCAGAGCCCCTATTCTCTTCTCGAACAGAAACATGACTTTGTTCACATAACCTTTTCTATACTGCCTTGGCTTTGCAGGAGGTTATGATTGACTAACTGATCACAGTGGTCACATTCTTAGCAGTACTTGGATTAGGTAAGAACATGTGATACAAATCTAGCCATTGTGAGGGGGAAATCCACTAAGGAATATATAAGAGAAGTTGTTCTCAACAAGAGATACAATCAAGTCTGTCTATTTTCCTGGAGTTTATCTTGATATTGTGAGAGCCAGAGGTACTACAAGGAAACCAGCTGGTATAGAAGATCCATATAGTGAGAATGACAGAATGCAAAGACTCATTCAAAAAATTCATTCATTCAAAAAATTCAAAAAATTTTGAATTCATTCAAAAAATCTTGGTTCTGAATAACAGCATAGAGTCACTGAATTAATGAAGCTCATAGCCTCCCTACCTTCTTGAATTGTCATGTATGATAGTAAATCCATTGTAAGTCAGTTGAATGCTGTTGTTCGAATAATTGTAGAGCTGTTACTGAAAGTGTCCTTTACTGGGGAGGAATCTTTGGGCTAGATGTCTTATAGTTCTGTAAGAATTGTGTTGTAAGTCCTCCTAA